AACATTATAAACAGATGATTCCCAACAACACTGAGACTGAGGAGGACAATAAACGGATCTGAGTTTGTGGATGCCAGGTTGGAAGAAATAGGTTGACAAATGATCAAGAATTTAGAATAAATTCGAATTTTTCTCTGTTGTAAAACACTTGAAACAACTAACTAATTAACGTCGTTAAAAACCTCCACGTTTTGGCTCTGACTTTGCACACCTTCCCTCGTAGATAAGAGCTGCAGAACAGACCTGACAGTCATCGATGGCCTCAGGGAGCGGATCCAGCGCTGACAGAGGCCTTCTGTTCGGAAAGGTCTCCCTCCGCTCGGATAGTGAGGACACGGATCAGCGCCAGAGCAGCTGGCCGAGGAGAAGCAGGGTTTGTGGGAAATCTGGCAGGGAGACACGGAGGAGACATAGTGGGTAATTGGAGCACAGCAACATCCGCCATTTTGGCTCGTTACCTAAATAACAGCTTTGATTGAGGTGAATAGGCCCATAAAGGGTTGTGGTGGAGCCGATAAGCCGCAGTGTGGTTTTGGCTGCTGTGTTTCCAGTTGGCATTTGGAGGGCTTCTGGCTTCCTGCAGCTGGTCCTGGATCTGCAGAGCGGCACCTGGGGATCCAGATGTCTCGGGGGTTGAATCTATGGAGGCATCTCTCGACTGGCATTAGCGCCTCGGTGACATTCATCCTTCAGGCTGGCAGCGTGGAGACGGCTTCCTGTCGGCCCACATATCACTCTGCAACTTCCTTCTGTCTGGGAGGGAGAGAAAAGCAGAGTGTGTGCAGAAAACTAGAACTGATGGAGAACTTTATAAAACAGAAAATCCTAACGTAACGACCATAGGTTCTAGATGTGAGCAGCAAAAACACATTTTCCTAGAAGACCAATATTGATCTTAATAAAACACAACAGATCTTTTGTTAAAGCGTGTGGTTCCCTTACTTCAACTTCATGCTCATGAAAACACCACATTTGGAAGAAATAGGTTGACAAATGATCAAGGATTTAGTTTCTCTGTTGTAAAACATTTGAAACAACTAATTAACGTAATTAAAAACTTGTAGAGTTACACAAACAGAAAATCCTAATCTAATGAGCGTAGGTTCTTGATACGAGCAGCAAAACACATTTTCCTAGAAGGAAAATATGTATCTTAAAGCACGGCAGCAAGGGCGTTTTTAGCGAGATTAGAGCAGCTTTGAAAATCCTCTCTCATGTGGTTGCTTTGAATATGAAGTAATTTGAATGTGGACTGAAGCTGCATTAAGGAATGTTTGCTTCAAAACATACACAGAGAAAAATATACTTAAAGGGATGCTCTGATGCATCTGTGGATGAAGGAATCTATTTAAAGTCTGAACGTAACAACAGATAAATCCACAGTGCTTCACCTCGCCCTCAGGTGGGAATCAATGTAAGGTTAGCTTTACCTACGTGATGCTGTGATGCACTAACTTTACCCCCCACTGCCCAAAGGTCTCACTGCATGACAGGCGTTGGTAATCACTGTTATTTTCCTCCTGCAAAAAAAACAAAACACTTCATGACAGCTCATAAATTGTTCAGTAGTCTTCAGTCTTCCCTGAGGTTGTTTAGTCAACATCTCCTTCCATCAATTCTCAGATCTCACACAAACACAACGCAGCAGCATGCATTCATCACCGGGGTTTCTCCCTAAAAGCATTTTTCAGAGCGTGGGGTCTCATCCCAGACTCCATAACTTCTTCTGATTACCCCCACGGAGAATGACAGAGTAGTTTTTGCCTGCGTTAACCACCGGCACTGGATTTTTGAGGCATTTGTGTAGATCAGAGATGGGAAGAAGTGGAGTACAAATACTTTGTTACTGTACTTTACTTTGACTTCTTACATTTTGAACTCAAATACCTGTACTTTCTACTTCTCACATGTTGAACACAAATACCTGTACTTTCTACTTCTTACATGTTGAACTCAAATACCTGTACTTTCTACTTCTTACATGTTGAACACAAATACCTGTACTTTCTACTTCTCACATGTTGAACACAAATACCTGTACTTTCTACTTCTTACATGTTGAACTCAAATACCTGTACTTTCTACTTCTTACATGTTGAACACAAATACCTGTACTTTCTACTTCTTACATGTTGAACTCAAATACCTGTACTTTCTACTTCTTACATGTTGAACACAAATACCTGTACTTTCTACTTCTTACATGTTGAACTCAAATACCTGTACTTTCTACTTCTTACATGTTGAACTCAAATACCTGTACTTTCTACTTCTTACATGTTGAACTCAAATACCTGTACTTTCTACTTCTCTCATTTTCCAAACAGCTGGTTCCTTTAGCTTGAATGTGTGTTTGATGCGTGATCATTATTCTTTAGAGTCATTGCGTGCCTATTGATTTGAACACGATCCGTGTATCCATCATTTCCTGGTCTTCTCTAAAGAAGAGGGACCAATGGAAACGTTGTCATGTTGCCGTTGTTCAGCATGGAAACATTCATTAGCTAACAATGACATTATTGTTCTATTAATATAAAGGGAGGTCAGGCACTCTTTAAAACAGCTGCTAGTTATGGGTACTTTTTACTGAAGTACATTTCAAAGCCTCTTTACTTTCACTTGAGTAAAGAAGTTTAGTCAGTACTTCTACTTTTACCAGAGTATTTTTAAACACGAGTATCTGTACTTCTACTTGAGTAAAGGATGTGTGTACTTTTGCCATCTCTACTGTACTGGTGCTCAGAGAGGCGCCTATAGGCCGGACTAAAGCACGGTGATCCATGAGAGTGAGAGAAGTTGTGGTCTCGAGAGGAAACAGAGGTGTTTAATGGGATGTTCACGCTCTGTTACTTGCCTGACAGCAACTATCTCCCTCACTCACCTTGTTTGCCACTCAATGGCCTCTGTATACAGCCTGCTAATTAGCCGAGCCCCTGAATGCATCATGAGCAGAATGGTCATAGGCACAGAGGAGCCTGGCTCATATTTGGGCAAAACTATTAATAGCAAACACATTTTATATTCAAATCACATCACATGGGTATCAGTCAGACAGGCATTTAGAAAATGGCCGTGGTAGGAGAGCTTTAATACACTAGATTCGTCTGGTTAATTTGTACATTTTTCAGCAAATTGTCATTTACTAAAGATTATATCGAGACTCTATAGCAATACTTTAAGATATGGTTCTCACCTTCTTGTATACAATGTAGACACATACACTAGTGACACTACAGCTTCGTGTTGCTGGCATGAACAGTCAGGGAACACCGAACTCACGAAGATGCATCCTGTACTGAACATGAATGTCTGCATATCAAATTGTTTACAATCCATCCTGATAGTTGCTGAGATTTACAGTCTTCCTTGCTGTTGCCATTTCACTGAAACCTCCCACATACATAAACATAAGCAGACGGTGTCCGTATCATCCCGAGACTCACATCTCAGGACACTTTGACTCAGTGTCTCCGACAGGCACGAGCCCTGCTCTCCTGACCTTTAGCTGTGACCTTTAGCACTCCCTAAATGCCACTTTGGGAAAAGTCATTTATTGTCCTCAGCCTCGCTGTCAAAGAGGAATGTCACATAGTTCATGTTTCTGCAAAGTGCTGAAGGAAGCAGCAGAACTGGAGTGTGTGAGTGTGAGTGTGGGAAATGTACATTATGTACGAGGATGATGCATCCATCAAAGTTTAGTGTTGTGAGGAGAACCAATATTGAGAGAGAAATGCAGCTGCTCACACCACTTATCCTTAAACCAACAATGTACAGACTCACACATAAATAAACCCCCTCAATCATCACCTGTGTGTGAGGCACTGCCTGTGATTTCTATTTCCCTTTTGGCTGTTTTTGTAGAATTTCTGCGAGTCAACCTCAATAAAAACGTAGTGACAAGGTGCCTAATCGTGACCATGCATCTAAGAGTAAAGGAGACACGAAACAAGTGGACATATCTCGTTCACAAAGCGAGTGAATCTGGGGTTGTCTTTGAGCACCATAACCCTAATAGTTAATACTTTACCAACCAAAACAGGAAATACGTACATACACACATGCACATACACCCACTGTCCTCTAGGGTTAGAGGAAAGTACATCATAGCATAAGATCGCAATATGTTGGGTGGCAAGAATCAAACTTTAAAATAGACATTTATAAAGTTGCAAATACAATTTTTGGTAACAATCATTATTTAAGTGATTAGAGGGTGCTTAGATTTTGAAAAACGAGGTCAGCAGGATTGGCAGGAAGTTGGTCAAAAGTTAAATAAATCAGACATTCACTTTCAATAGTTATCCTTATAATCTTTACCATATTAGATAACAGACGATGACAAATGGCGTACTTTGCATTAGAGAAAAAGCTAATAAATCAAAAGACACCGTATCGCAAAAAGTGTAAAATTGCAAGAAGATTGCATCGTGATAACATCATATTAAAGATCGTCTAGCAGTGCTTTTCTTGGATAGTGAGGATGAACTCAAAGAAGAGGGATTGATTTTCTGCACTGGGCTGGATCAGCTTCTCCCCCTCATCACCGCCCACTGACAAAACACCGGGGTGATTAATAATAACACCTCATTTACCCTCCGCACACAGATGGGACGTCAGGTTGAAGGTTGATGGAGAACAGCAGCGTGTTTAGTGCTACAGCCCGTCATACAGATGAGCGTTTGGACTCCAGGCTCCACCTTTACCCCGCCGCCTGACGCGATCTGTACCCTTCAGGTATCCTTCCACTGCTGCTGGAGCCATTTGTCACTGTAGGCCTGAAGACTCCTTTAAACCCCGTGCAAAGGGAGTCTTTAGCTCTGGTTTCGGGTGATTTATGTGCTCACGGTGCGGTGGTTTTTCAGTGCTTTACTCGAGGAACAAAGTCTCCAAAGATGTCAGAGAAAGCAGACAGGAGAGAGGATCTTTTCACTTCCATCACGTCATTCATTAGAGCTGTGCAAATGACAATTAATCCCTATAACTCACACTCTGACAAGTCATTTGTGTACGAAGCAGTCTTTAATTTATGCACAGTAACACAAGCAAACATGTAAAAATAGTTAGTTGCAACTGAACCATTGAATAACCTCATATTCGGTTAAACAGAAACTTGATGAATGAGTTTCATCTTACAGTAAATGGGTAGCACTCTAAGTTGGGAGAGTAGTATTTGCTACGCTCCGTCTGTACAGTAAATGCTATGAACATCCTCTCACACATTACATTTTTAACTCAGAAGCCAAAGGAAAAGCGAACACTATCAAAATTCAAAAACATTGTTTCTTTTTTTTTACAAAAAATATAAAAAAGTACGGTGAGCTTGAGGCTGATATGATAACTCCTGATTTATTTTGTCAGAATGCACATAAGCTTTTTCTTTTAAAAGGACATTTTATTCTTTACTTGAGACATTGAGTAATTGTATTAAAAAAACTACAGACATAGACTTCAAACTTAACATCCTGTACAAAACATATGCACCTTAAAAAGCTTAAAAGGCTAAATAAACGGAATGATCAAATACTGCGAGCCGCTAGAGCCTGAAACAGAAAGCAAAATGGACAAACTCGACGACAGACTTCAAATATCTACATCCTGATTTTAGGACTTTTGGGTTGTTGCAGCAGGACATCGTAAAAGCCATCAGACATCTCCACAGTCTTTGTTGTTATGACTTCCAAAACCAGCTAAGAAACTGCTTGCAAGTCGTTTAACCGAGGAATGCAATCAACCATGCAAAAACAAAACAGAAAAAACACGTCAGATGAAGTCATGCAAAAGCAGTTTGTGGTTATTTCCCATCGTTACAAATACAGGTCTGTTTGAGAGGCGTCACAGGAAAGTTAAAAGGGGATCCCATTCCCCGAAGTCTCTTTGCTCGTATTCTTCCCTTTTTCTTGGAAATCCAGTTTCTCAGCGAGAGTCAAGGCAAGATTTGTCCCAAAAAAATGTAGATTTCCGAGTGTACCTGAGAGGAAGTGGGATTTCCCTCTGTGGCAACACTGTGTGTCTGTTTTCATTATACAGCTGCCGTAGAGTCTGAGAGTGGGAATGTCCCGCACATGGTGTCACAAATCTCAATACAAAGCACAAAAAACTAAAATGGAGGACAGGGGGAGAGTCTGAAGGGCCGAATCCGGCTTAATAATCATCGTAGGTGTTAAGGTCGGTGAAGTATGCGTTGGTATAGGTCTTCCCGGCAAGCTGAGGGTTAAAGTACTTATTTCTTTCCTCCAGAATCAGATTGTTTTTGTTGAAGGCCTGTGGATGGAAAGGAAAAAGGGAGTCAGTCTGGACTAATGCGACACATGCATCAAGTGATTATTCAGCCTAGATGGCAAGGTAAAAGCAAATCCATCTTTCTTAACAAAAAAAGGAGCAACACAAATCAATGGGAGGCCGCTCAGTGAATGAAACATACATTCTCACAGAGCGAGGTCAAAGCATTGGCAAACAGGCTGGATAAATGATAAGCCATCACAAGGCTAAGTTATTTTGATGTGCGTCCGTATGTCCACCTCTGTCATCTCTAATACCTCCGCAGATTCATGGCCCCTCTGCATTGTGGGTCCTCTGGGACTATTTAAGCTATACAAATCGATCAAGAGTCTACTTCCTGTTAAACAATAAGGAAGAGCCATGGAGGCGTCTTCTCTGTCCCTGCGTGGCATAGGAACCATGTAACGAGCTTCTGATGAGTTTCTCAATACAACACCAGCAATTTGGCAAATGGATGTGTTTTCGTCTGCAGTGTGTTGCTGTCCCTCGGGGCAGAGTAATTGAACGCTTGATGATTGCTGCATTTGCCGTTGATGAATGTTTCCGACTGACACTGATAGGGAACGAGATGCTGGACAACAAACTCGTATATTTGCGTTTTTTTCATAATGTGATTTGCACCCAAAGGGGATGCAATGACGTGTCTCTGCAGCACGCCCCACGGCGGCTTTTAAACAGCTGCGCTACGACGCTTGTTAGCATCATCTACGTTTTAATTACCTGAAGAATGATTACATTTGAGTTGTTGTGCGGTGAACAAAATGTGCTTAAGCTGGTAGAGAGGTAACAGAGGAGCATAATCAAACTGCATCACAATGGATTTTCTTTCTCAAGTAAAAACAAGGACGAAACAAGAAGGACAAACATGGAAAAACATGCAAATGGCGGCACTTTTGAGAAATAAGGGAGGGGGATACACTGCCTTCTCACAAGCCGGGAGGGAGGAGGGTGATGGGAAGATGAAGGGGAGCAGAGAAAGAGAGTCTGTACTCCAACCTGCCACACACAGGAAGTGGAAGGGCGGGGCACGGTGGGGAAGAGGAAGTAGTAGTGGTTGGGGTCAAAGAGTTGTTGTGGGGAGGGGGAGTCAAGAGGCGATATGTTGTAGAGGTTAGTAGAACATCTCCAGGCCACGCATGGACACCCCCATGTTAGCAGAGAGAGGCTGGTGCATGGCGGGGTCGTCCAAGGGCAAGAGAACCGACACATCTGGCTGCAGAGGAGAGGAATGGGCAAGAGTCATCCTCAAAGAAACCCTAAAGGCCATATTCTGAGTTACAGGAAGCCTGGACATACAAACTTCAGTTTAAGAGTGTAATCATAAACTAGACTGCTGGAGATACTCCAGTTGGCCCAGAAACCAGCATAATAATTCTGACTCATCAACATCAGGATTTGAGCCAAAAACTCTCCGATATGGCATCAGGTGTTCATCAACCCTCCCTGTGAACGCTCTAGATACTAAATTCACTTCATATCCAAACTGTCAGTGAGCAAAGATTGGAGAATGTGCTTTCAGTGTTCATTTGTCATGCCTTTCCTTTTGTATCTTCACACGGTCCGTCTATATTCATATCCGCCTCTATCTGCAATACGGCTAACTGGATTACGCTTTGTGCGTCTGACTTTAATTGCATGACAGATGAACGCTCCGCGCACCTTTATTCTGACTGAAATGAAATTACATTCGGGACGTTTGCTCCGAGCCAAATGATCTGTTCTCACTCTGTGGCAGTTTCACAACACACGTTCATATCTGAGGAGTAGTTTTTATAAACAGAGATCCAGGTACTTCGTTTGTAATATATGTGATATTAAAGACTTCCTTTGACAGCGTATCAAACACAGGTGAGAGGAAACCCTGCATAAGAAATGTCAGATGTGTCAGCGTTACAGTAAAGTCTAATATTTATAATAATACCAAGCTGTTCATTAAACTCCTGAACAGTGATTGTCCAACAAGAGCCGTAACAATGGCCTGAAGCATGCAGGGTCTGTCAAGCTTTTAATTTCTCTACATTTTGAAGTTGTGCAAATGGCGCTTTAGAAAGAAAGTGATACTCCGATTTGAAAAAGTCATGCCTAGCTTCAACCTGCAGTACAAAGACAAAGCTATTTCTTTAGACTACATGTCGTCCTCTTTGACGTTTGCCTGGGACATGCAGCTTTATCAGTGTACATATGTTTTAAAACCACTTATATGAAAAGTTAGCCGGAGGAAGGACCAACACTTAAAGCTAACAATCATTTGATTAGCTACAAAATTGGCAACCCGGTATCACGGCAAGACGTGAACATGTGACGATTTACCATGCTGGGAGACGTGAAGATGTCACGGTTTCGTCCCCTTCAAACGTGACAGCTACACGGTATTGTTAACCCATGTTAACCAGTGGAGAAATAACCGGAAATACCAAGCAAATGCTACCCCGACGTAATGATTTATTTTGTAATAGTCACACTCCATTACAGCGATTTTCTTGTTGCCCCAGCTGGTCGACACCTCTTTGAGCATAAACAAAGGCTACATTAATGCATTAAATCGATGTTAATCCATGCGTGTGGATGTGGAATTAACGGACGTGACGTTGTGCAATTGAGTTGCCAAGCAACAGCTTCGGTTCATGTTAATTTACAAACTATTCAACTACAACCGTAGTTATATTTAAAAACATGTTAGAAGGCCTCACGAAATACTTTAATGCACATTCAAATGTAAATGTGAAGGAATGTGTGTATAACAAAATACATCGGTCATTAAACGAAACCGGAAACAGACGTAGGCAAGATCCTCAGCTCGATGATTGGATGGTTATCCGCAATGCATGCTGGGATTTGGTGTTTATGTGATGTGAAATCTGAAAACGTTTTTTAAAAATACAATAATACTTTATTCCGAGTGTGCTTGCTTTACTCTTTGAAAGTCATCACATAACGGCATTGTAATACACGGTTCGGCTGCATTAAATATTACATATCTGCCGTAGTTCTCTATTTATAGAGCCCTGCTGAGAAGACTTCTGGACAAACAGGAGAACTGCCGCCAAAACTGAATACGTGACGTGGATCATAAATATATAAGCAATTAAACAACATCTTACATTTCTTTTCACACAATACGTCTCCTTGCAGTATCAACACTAATTCGGCTGACTTCTATATTTGATCCAATTGGTAGATAGGCTGTATTTAAACCATAACCGTGCAGAGCTGATAGAAAGGGACACCTGGTGGTCAAAGCACGTTATTGAATTTCATTATTTTATTATTAGATATTAATAGGAGGATGTGCAAAACAGACAAACTAATAAGGCTTAATTTAAACATTAAAGAGTACTTTAGGTTAAGGTCTTATTTTGAATAAGAAAAAAGCTTTAAGAAGAATATGGAGGGATGAAACCCTCTTGAAACCGCAGGTCCTTCCTTCCTGCAGCGGTCAGACTTTACAACCAGCACTGCCCCTAGTAGACCCTCCTACACACACCACAACACAGACTATAACACCCCTTGCTGCTAAATACAAACCAACTTTGTGCAATATGTGCAATATATATATGCCATTAATAACTGTGTAATTCATACCTGGCCACTAAATCAATATATATGCCGTTTTGTTTTTGATCTGTATTTTTGAAAATTATGTAACTTTTTATCTTTTTTTTAGCATATTGTTTATTATATTATAACTTAGTACTTTTTTAGCATATTGTTTATTTTATTCTAACGTAGTACTTTTTTAACGCATGTAAGATATGCAACACTAAGCTGTCTGTGGCTCTTTCCTGCTGTAACGCTGCACATTTCCCCTCTGTGGAACTAATAAAGGTATTCTGATTCTTTAATGGTCACACATGCAGAGCACACAGCACACACAGTGACATTTGTATCTACAGATAAATATTAAGCCTGACAAAGTACTTAACGTCTAATATATTGCTTTCCTGCAATGTTAACTATGTTTAAGCACTTATTTGTTTATTATATGTTTATTATTAAACTGATATTATACATATGTATTATACTCTTATAAGATGTATGTAGATAGTATAAGAAATGTGCAGAATGACAGTTTCATGGTGGAGTATACACACATATTGATAGATGTCTTGTAATGCACTGTTGAGGAACCTGCGACCCAAGTTTTTCATTCATTGCATAACTACACAGTAGTTGTGTATAATATGATGTCAATAAACCTTAGCTTATAAAATCTTGAAAGGGATGTTCAAACTAGTCATTATATACAGTCTTTAATGAACTATTAGTAGAGAATAACGAGTAATGAATATACTTTATAGAGATCCTATTAATATCTAATAATAAAATAATACAATTCAATAACGTGCTTTGACCACCAGGTGTCCCTTTCTATCAGCTCTGCACGGTTATGGTTTAAATACAGCCTATCTACCAATTGGATCAAATATAAAAGTCAGCCGAATTAGTGTTGATACTGCAAGGAGACGTATTGTGTGAAAAGAAATGTAAGATATAATTGCTTATATATTTATGATCCACGTCACATCTTCAGTTTTGGCGGCAGTTCTCCTGTTTGTCCAGAAGTCTTCTCATCAGGGCTCTATAAATAGAGAACTACGGCAGATATGTAATATTTAATGCAGCCGAACCGTGTATTACAATGCCGTTATGTGATGACTTTCAAAGAGTAAAGCAAGAGCACTCGGAATAAAGTATTATTGTATTTTTAAAAAACGTTTTCAGATTTCACATCACATAAACACCAAATCCCAGCATGCATTGCGGATAACCATCCAATCATCGAGCTGAGGATCTTGCCTACGTCTGTTTCCGGTTTCGTTTAATGACCGATGTATTTTGTTATACACACATTCCTTCACATTTACATTTGAATGTGCATTAAAGTATTTTGTGAGGCCTTCTAACATGTTTTTAAATATAACTACGGTTGTAGTTGAATAGTTTGTAAATTAACATGAACCGAAGCTGTTGCTTGGCAACTCAATCGCACAACGTCACGTCCGTTAATTCCACATCCACACGCATGGATTAACATTGATTTAATGCATTAATGTAGCCTTTGTTTCTGCTCAAAGAGGTGTCGACCAGCTGGGGCAACAAGAAAATCGCTGTAATCGAGTGTGACTATTAAAAAATAAATCATTACGTCGGGGTAGCATTTGCTTGGTATTTCCGGTTATTTCTCCACTGGTTAACATGGGTTAACAATACCGTGTAGCTGTCACGTTTGAAGGGGACGAAACCGTGACATCTTGACGTCTCCCAGCATGGTAAATCGTCACATGTTCACGTCTTGCCGTGATACCGGGTTGAAAATTGGGAGAGTGCTGGTTCATCAGTTACATATTCCGCAAACACAATTGAACCTAGCACTATGTAAGGGCGAAGTCAACTAGTCATACGGTTTTATAGAGCTTGATAACATAGGAAAGACCCCTAGCTAGAAATTAAGAAATTGCTTTTGTCAACATTAAGCAGGTGTTGCAAAAATAACTAAAGCTTATCGAGCTCTTAGCTACTTTTATTTTGTTTCTTTTTCTGCTATTTAAAAACCTAGAAAAGTTGCACATCCAATAGCTTTTAATCAGCAGAGTCTTGAAGTGGCCTGCTAGTGCCAAAACTATCTCACAAATGTGTTTTGAAAGAACATTTTTGAGGCACATATTTGACTGGTTTGAAATCATGCTAGCAGATTCGTTACTTGTGAATTTTCAGATTTCAAGTAAGAAATCCCAGTGTGATTGAATTGCTCTTTAATACAAAGCACTGTATTCCTTGAAAGAAGGCCAGCTGGAGATAGAGAGGCTGTGGGACAAGCACTAATCAGCAGCTCAGTGTGGCACTAAAGCCCGATGCATCTGAGGATGAGAGGCTGTTTGTAGCCTGAGAGGATCTGGATCTCTGCCAACGTGACCGTCTGCAATTACAGATGCAACCCGGACTCAGAGAAGCAAAGGAAATGTGCAGATTCAAGAGATCCGATTACCTACCCACACACCTATCAGTAATTGCATTAGTGTGTTATGAGAAAGCAGTGTATGACCACTGACACAGAACAAAGTCACACACTGAGACACACACGGAGAAAAGCTGCCTATCAGTCGGAGGCATGCAGTCAGGAGTGTGTTAGACGGAAGAAGAGGCTGCTACACCTGAGAGAGAGAGTGTGTGTGTGTGTGTTGTGCCACATGTATTGTTGACATTTATGTTTAGTGTTTGTTTTGTTCTGTTATAACTCCTTGTGCGGAATGCTTTGGCATTTTAAAATGTGGTCCAATAAAGCCCCTTTGTATTGTATTGTATTATTGTGTGTGACATTAAAGGTCCCCTATTATGCAAATTCCACTTCTTCATGTCTCTTCTACATCAACATGTGTCCCCTCTTCTTCATGTCTCTTCTACATCAACATGTGTCCCCTCTTCTCCATGTCTCTTCTACATCAACATGTGTCCCCTCTTCTCCATGTCTCTTCTACATCAACATGTGTCCCCTCTTCTTCATGTCTCTTCTACATCAACATATGTCCCCTCTTCTTCATGTCTCTTCTACATCAACATGTGTCCCCTCTTCTCCATCAACATGTGTCCCCTCTTCTTCAAGTCTCTTCTACATCAACATGTGTCCCCTCTTCTCCATGTCTCTTCTACATCAACATGTGTCCCCTCTTCTTCATGTCTCTTCTACATACACATGTGTCCCCTCTTCTTCATGTCTCTTCTACATCAACATGTGTCCCCTCTTCTTCAAGTCTCTTCTACATCAACATGTGTCCCCTCTTCTCCATGTCTCTTCTACATCAACATGTGTCCCCTCTTCTCCATGTCTCTTCTACATCAACATGTGTCCCCTCTTCTTCATGTCTCTTCCACATCAACATGTGTCCCCTCTTCTTCATGTCTCTTCTACATCAACATGTGTCCCCTCTTCTTCATGTCTCTTCTACATCAACATGTGTCCCCTCTTCTCCATGTCTCTTCTACATCAACATGTGTCCCCTCTTCTTCATGTCTCTTCTACATCAACATGTGTCCCCTCTTCTTCATGTCTCTTCTACATCAACATGTGTCCCCTCTTCTTCATGTCTCTTCTACATCAACATGTGTCCCCTCTTCTTCATGTCTCTTCTACATCAACATGTGTCCCCTCTCCTTCATGTCTCTTCTACATCAACATGTGTCCTCTCTTCTTCATGTCTCTTCTACATCAACATGTGTCCCCTCTTCTTCACGTCTCTTCTACATCAACATGTGTCCCCTCTTCTTCATGTCTCTTCTACATCAACATGTGTCCCCTCTTTTCATGTCTCTTCTACATCAACATGTGTCCCCTCTTCTTCATGTCTCTTCTACATCAACATGTGTCCCCTCTTCTTCATGTCTCTTCTACATCAACATGTGTCCCCTCTTCTTCATGTCTCTTCTACATCAACATGTGTCCCCTCTTCTTCATGTCTCTTCTACATCAACACGTGTCCCCTCTTCTTCATGTCTCTTCTACATCAACACGTGTCCCCTCTTCTTCATGTCTCTTCTACATCAACACGTGTCCCCTCTTCTTCATGTCTCTTCTACATCAACACGTGTCCCCTCTTCTCCATGTCTCTTCTACATCAACACGTGTCCCCTCTTCTTCAAGTCTCTTCTACATCAACACGTGTCCCCTCTTCTTCAAGTCTCTTCTACATCAACATGTGTCCCCTCTTCTTCATGTCTCTTCTACATCAACATGTGTCCCCTCTTCTTCATGTCTCTTCTACATCAACATGTGTCCCCTCTTCTTCATGTCTCTTCTACATCAACATGTGTCCCCTCTTCTTCATGTCTCTTCTACATCAACATGTGTCCCCTCTTCTTCATGTCTCTTCTACATCAACATGTGTCCCCTCTTCTTCATGTCTCTTCTACATCAACATGTGTCCCCTCTTCTTCAAGTCTCTTCTACATCAACATGTGTCCCCTCTTCTTCAAGTCTCTTCTACATCAACATGTGTCCCCTCTTCTTCAAGTCTCTTCTACATCAACATGTGTCCCCTCTTCTCCATGTCTCTTCTACATCAACATGTGTCCCCTCTTCTTCATGTCTCTTCTACATCAACATGTGTCCCCTCTTCTCCATGTCTCTTCTACATCAACATGTGTCCCCTCTTCTTCACGTCTCTTCTACATCAACATGTGTCCCCTCTTCTTCATGTCTCTTCTACATCAACATGTGTCCCCTCTTCTTCATGTCTCTTCTACATCAACATGTGTCCCCTCTTCTTCAAGTCTCTTCTACATCAACATGTGTCCCCTCTTCTTCATGTCTCTTCTACATCAACATGTGTCCCTTCTTCTTCACGTCTCTTCTACATCAACATGTGTCCCGTCTTCTCCATGTCTCTTCTACATCAACATGTGTCCCCTCTTCTTCATGTCTCTTCTACATCAACATGTGTCCCCTCTTCTTCAAGTCTCTTCTACATCAACATGTGTCCCCTCTTCTCCATGTCTCTTCTACATCAACATGTGTCCCCCTCTTCTTCATGTCTCTTCTACATCAACATGTGTCCCCTCTTCTCCATGTCTCTTCTACATCAACATGTGTCCCCTCTTCTCCATGTCTCTTCTACATCAACATGTGTCCCCTCTTCTTCATGTCTCTTCTACATCAACATGTGTCCCCTCTTCCTCATGTCTCTTCTACATCAACATGTGTCCCCTCTTCTTCAAGTCTCTTCTACATCAACATGTGTCCCCTCTTCTCCATGTCTCTTCTACATCAACATGTGTCCCCTCTTCTTCATGTCTCTTCTACATCAACATGTGTCCCCTCTTCTTCATGTCTCTTCTACATCAACATGTGTCCCCTCTTCCTCATGTCTCTTCTACATCAACATGTGTCCCCTCTTCTTCATGTCTCTTCTACATCAACATGTGTCCCCTCTTCTTCATGTCTCTTCTTCATCAACATGTGTCCCCTCTTCCTCATGTCTCTTCTACATCAACATGTGTCCCCTCTTCTTCATGTCTCCTCTACATCAACATGTGTCCCCTCTTCTTCATGTCTCTTCTACATCAACATGTGTCCCCTCTTCCTCATGTCTCTTCTACATCAACATGTGTCCCCTCTTCTTCATGTCTCTTCTACATCAACATGTGTCCCCTCTTCTTCATGTCTCCTCTACATCAACATGTGTCCCCTCTTCTTCAGGTCTCTTCTACATCAACATGTGTCCCCTCTTCTTCATGTCTCTTCTACATCAACATGTGTCCCTTCTTCTTCACGTCTCTTCTACATCAACATGTGTCCCCTCTTCCTCATGTCTCTTCTACATCAACATGTGTCCCCTCTTCTTCATGTCTCTTCTACATCAACATGTGTCCCCTCTTCTTCATGTCTCTTCTACATCAACATGTGTCCCCTCTGTGGAAAGAGACTCTGAAAGTTTCAGGAACAAAGATTCTCTCTCTTTTTGATCCATTTCTATAAAAACCTGTCTGAAAATGAGCTGATCAGATTTTAGCCACTTTATGATGTCATAACGATGTTTTGGCTTGTGTAACCATTAGCCAATCAGCAACCAAGGTAACCCCCCCCCCCCCCCCCCCCCTTATCACCTGAATCTCCTCCTAGAGCACCATTGAGTTCTTTGTAACCAAATGTCTCTCAGAGGGGCGTGGGAAGGGGCTCCTTATTTTCATCTAAAGTAACAGACAGAGAATCAGCACTTTGGAAACAGGGCTGAAACAGAGGGGATTATGGGTAATGCTGCAATGATCTGTTTGGGTGTTTCAGCCAATCAGAGACAGGCTCTGGATATATCTGAGACCTATAATATATTGATGGAAAACAGTATAATAGGGGACCTTTAAGTGATTAAAGGAAGGAAGTGTTGTGGACGTCAGACCTTGATGGCTTCCACCGAGTCGTATTTGTCTAGTTTGTTGATGTGGTTGGTGATGCTGGTGTTGAGCGGAGCCGCTGAGATGGGGTGGATGACGGTGGCGTCGTGCGCCTGCTGGGTGTAGCGCTGACAGTAAGAGTAAACCAGTAAAGTGACCAGACATCCCAGTACGGAGCTGCTCAGCCCCACAGCGATCATGTGGAGGAGGTTGAAGTCTGCCAGGAGATAGGAGAGAAGGAGGAGAGGAGATATGTGTCAATGCACACAAGTGGAAGTGGTAATTGAAGCTGCAAAACATATGGTAATGATAGAATGTTCTGCAATAAAAAGACATGGGCTGAATCTAAATTTGTCCTCTGCTGTCAAATAAAAGTCACATCTTTTTACTCTTCAACAAAATCTAGTGATATTTGAATTCATCTGCATCACTATCATCAAAAGGAAAGTCTCTGGCCAGAGTCTCATCTTTTCCAAAATATTGGTCGTTTTATATAACAATTGATATGATGCATTGTGTTTCCTTACTGAACATCATGTTTCATTGATAAAGAGATAAATATTTCAACCCAAATATGAGTCATTTTACTCAACCGGCTTTTACTTGTGCTCAAACAAAGATATACAAGTGAACAACAGGTGGTTTTATTGCCCTGAGCATCGTCTGCAGACAGCTCCTCTCTCAGCCTCCAACAAGCTAAATAATGATGTAAGGAGCAGCCTGCGAGACAACACTCAGGGCATAAAAACTCCCTAAAGCCTCCTGTAGATTCTTCATATGTTGATTGTTGCTGCAGTGAGACACACTGTTGTGGTTTGACTATAACTGTGTTAATCTAACAACTGTTTTGACCATTCATAATGCTTCCAAGACTATTTGACTGTCTAGATTATGCTTTAATATTATCATTATATCTTAAATGACAATGATTTTGTTCAGATTAATTATTTCTGGGACAATATCGTCCAACAGAAGCAGTTATTGTGACAGTATATGCACAACAGCAACATAAGCAGACATGTTATCTGTGCTTCTCTCAAGATATTTTCTTATGGAGGAAACAAACTCAGCACATTTTATCCCGTGCAGCTCTGACTTTCTCTAGATTTGATTCGATCAACGTATCTCGGGTGTTTTCGCAGCTGGATTTATGCGCGCTAAGCAGGTTTGGAAAGCTGGAAATCTTATAGCCATAGTTATTGTAAGCTAGGCCAGGTGTTATCCTACACACACACACACACACACACACACACACACACACACACACACACACACACACACACACACACACACACACACACACACACACACACACACACACACACACCACACACACACACACACACACACACACACACACACACACCATGTATACATCACTTCAGGGGACATTACATTGACTTACATGCATTTCCTGGAGACTTATCCTAACCTTAACCAACACATGCCTAACCCTTACCCTTAACTTTACCCTAATCCTAAACCTAACCAAGTCTTCACCCTAAAATTAATGATTCCCCTCATGGGGACCTCCATTATGTCCCCATAAGGGAGGCGAGTCCCCACACGTGACTGTGTAAACAGATTTAGGTCCCCACAAGTATAGTAACACAAACACACCCACACACACCCACACCCACACCCACACCCACACACCACACACACCACACACACACACACACACACACACACACACACACACACACACACACACACACACACACACACACACACACACACACACACACACACACACACACACACACACACACAGAAATTACCTCCACAGCGCCTCTCCTCCTGACTGGAGCGTGCAATCGAGATTTCTGACGAAGGAGAATAGCAAAAGGCAGCAGAATTAGAGCCAAAAAACACAAACGTACAAGCGCACCCCTGTTAGCGTGACAAATGGTACCCTTGACGCAGAGTGTGGAGATGAAAGCTGCACCCAATATGGAACAGATTATCATAAAAAACTCCGCCAGCTAATCACGTCTGTGGCACCTGGAGTGGTTTATGAAAAGTATCGGCTTTCATTAAAGGAAATGAACTACAAGACGTTTTTAATGAACCTTAATGGACTACCATTCCCATTAAAGGGGATGGATGATAAGGTATAAAGGCAAATGGGTAATTCTATAAAGACCTTTGAAGGGTTTTCACGACTATTACATCCCTGCTAATTGATACAGAAAGGTTACGGAGTTATGACTCAATCAAATGTTTATTCTAATCCAACAATTCATGATTCCTGAAGTGTAAGAACGGCAGGGCACACAAAAAACGTGTTTAGAAATATATACAAACATTTAATAGCGGTTTTATTATTCGCAATCATGCAATGTTAATAAGCTAAGCATCCTTTGGTAAAAGTGTTAATGATCTGTGTGAAGACTGATCAATGCTCTAAAGGTGTCTCACATTACCGACTGTCAATAGTTTGAGCAGAAATCAATACTGATGACGTGTGTGTATGTTTTTAAAAGGACTTTCTGAACTTTAAGTCCTTCAGAAAGAGTTAATTTAAACAACTGTTCAACTGGCTATTCGCTACCCTCCCTGGACAGTGATTGCATTGTACTTTTATCATATTTTTCCATTAAAATCAGAGTGTAAATGCAGTTTTTTTAAACAAGACAACACCTGCTAGAAATATCATATATTTTCAAATGCAGATAAATGAATAGACCTTTCTGTAGAGTTTGAATAAAGTGTCAAATGCTTTACGACAGGGGTGTCAATCTCAAATTCATCACGGGCCACATTAGCATTATGGTTGCACTCAAAGGGCTGGTTGTAACTATATAAATATACATATATATAATATATACAAAATAATGTATTATATTACATTATTGCCTCTGAATTTGATTATTATCGGATAGGGTAATAACTTACTAATTAACTACGTCTGAAAGCAGAAGTCCAGGGCAAATAATTCTCTCTTCAGTGCGCATGTCACAGTGCGCAATGCATTGTGGGACATGTCGTCTGTAAAGTGGCATGTAACCGTATAATAACGTATTATATTCTATATATACAAGCGGCCGAGATGGGTTTTCTCCGCAGGGTGGCTGGCGTCTCCCTTAGGGATAAGGTGAGAAGTTCGGTCATCCGGGAGGGACTCGGAGTTGAGCCGCTCCTCCTTCGCGTCGAAAGGAGCCAGTTGAGGTGGTTCGGGCACCTAGTTAGGATGCCACCTGGGCGCCTCCCTAGGGAGGTGTTCCAGGCACGTCCAGCTGGGAAGAGACCAAGGGGTAGACCTAGGACCAGGTGGAGGGATTATATCTCTTCGCTGGCCTGGGAGCACCTTGGGATCCCCCAGTCAGAGCTGGTTGATGTCGCCAGGGAAAAGAAAGTTTGGGGCTCTCTGCTGGAACTGATACCCCCGCGACCCGACCACGGATAAGCGGGAGAAGATGGATGGATGGATGGATGGATGGATGGAAGCTCTTGCGGGCCACATCAAATGAAGTCGCGGGCCGGATTTGGCCCCCGGGCCTTGAGTTTGACACCCCTGCTTTACGATGATCAGCGAAGTTACTGTTTCTGTAATCTGGTGGCTTTGAGCAGAGCATATTATTTTGCACGTTAATAGGTCATTATCATTATTTTCTTAAATTAAAAGCAGACAGCTTGAAAGGTATAATTAAAGTCAGCAGGGGTGAAATCAATACAGTTGATCTCCTCCTATCTCTTCTTACCAGTTATATAACATTGTGATTGCATTGTTAGCAAACAACAGAGAAGCTGTGGGACGCTGTCCACACATTGTGAAGACGTGTGCATAATTAAGGGTTAATTTATTTAATTTATAACAAAGTTGCTTCAAAAATAATTAAGAAAAAACCCTGAATGACCAGGTGCAAAAAGCAGCACTCGGGAGCCATTTCCTTCATTTCTTCCAACATAAAAAACGGAAAACTGCTGGTGTAAGTGCTTTCTGCCTGGCCTGACAAGACTCCTTGACTCATAATGAAACTAATATAGCAGGGGGGATGTTGAAATGAGTAGGGAGATGGCCCTTAAGTGTCGCGCTGGGGTTCACGCCCTCGTGTAATCACCTGCCGCACTCAGAGTGCTTGAGCAAGACACTTATCCCGACCGTCCCCAGGAGAGCTGCCCTGTCGCTGAACCTGACCTGAGACCAGCGAGTCCCTCAGAGCCACCGCTAACGCATTTCATTATCTCAGGACTCTTGGAAAGGAGCTGAACTACCGCTGTGGGCATATGGTGGTGTTGGGAGGTGTGTGTGTGCTCAAAGTTGTGTTTTAGTCACGCACGAGTTCCCAAGATGTTCCTGAAGAAACATAAGCGGCTGTGTGAGTGTGTGTGTGTGTGTGTGTGTGTGTGTGTGCAGAGGTGGGAAGTAGTGGAGTACAAATACTTCATTACTGTACTTAAGTACATGTTTCTGGTATCAGTACTTTACTCCACTACTTATTTTTCTGACGACTTTTTACTTTGACTTCTCACATGTTGAACTCAAATACCTGTACTTTCTACTTCTTACATGTTGAACTCAAATACCTGTACTTTCTACTTCTTACATGTTGAACTCAAATACCTGTACTTTCTACTTCTTACATGTTGAACTCAAATACCTGTACTTTCTACTTCTTACATGTTGAACTCAAATACTTGTACTTTCTACTTATCACATTTTCCAAACAGCTGGTTCCTTTAGTCTGAATGTGTGTATTTTTAAACACCAGTATCTGTACTTCTACTTGAGTAAAGGATGTGTGTACTTTTGCCCTGTGTGTGCGTGTGTGTGTGTGTGTGTGTGTGTGTTCACCTGGTATAAAGTTAGAGTCGGGGGGGCAGGGCCGGGTCTCACTGTTGTTCCCTGAGCACTGGTTTCCGGTGGGGAACAGGATGTCGCAGTGACGGACCCTCGTCTGCGCCCCGTTGGTCTCACAGTGGGACCACTCGGACCACTTGGACCAGCTCTCTGCAAAACACAACGACAGTACGTTTAAAAAGTACTCAGATCCTCCAAAGTAGGAATAACAGAGCCTCAAGATACTAGACATGTCCAAGGCAATCTTCTTGAATATACTAAGACAATTTAATCAGATTGCTATGTCATGATGTAAAGTTCATAGTGTCTACAAATACTCCATATGACACACGCTGTACAATTCAAAGTTCAACTGGCCTTTCCAGCACTTTAAGGACCCGATAATGCGTTTACCACTGATATTTATTTATTTCCCCCGTCCCTTCTACATAGATATATTAAAGATGGCTTTAGCAACACTTTAGCAACACTGCAGTAAAAAGTACACTACCTCAAAATCGTACTTCGTGTGTGTGTGTGTGTGTGTGCCCTCAGCTGCATTTCAGTCATGCATGAGTTTCATTCGAGTGGCCCAGAGAGAGAGACTAAAGAAAATAAGCAATGAACCTGTGATGGATGGGTGGAAAAGTCAGGGCCCTGGGCTGCTTATCACTGAGGTGTGTGTGTGTGTGTGTGTGTGTGTGTGTGTGTGTACCTGGACAGGACTGTGTGTGGCACAGAGCCTCCTCAGTGTGCAGGCCCAGGCAGATGTCCCCTCCGTACTCAGGGAGGGGGTTGCTGCAGGTTCGAGTCCTCATGTAGTGCCCTCCCCCACACGTCACCGAGCACTTTGACCACGAAGACCAGCACGACCAACTGCCGTCCACTAAAAAACAATCAATTACATTTTTATATAAACATTGTCGCTGATGGTCGATAAATCAAATGCCTCCTATATGAAATGACTAATGGAAAGAAAACATATTCTGTAAATCGATGGAGGGAATAATCACTGAAGTATAACAGTTCTCCCTTTTTCTAAAACGTTTGTGTTTCCTACGATTTATGTTCCAGGTCATTTGAAAACACAATTTCCTCTGAACGTCGAGTGATTGGAAGTCATTTCCAAAGCATGACGCAGAAGTGTGAAGCAATTTGAGTGTTTTGAAGTGATAGGAAGTGCTTCATCCAGCTGTTACAACAAACGCTGACCCCCCCTCGAACTCAGCGCTCTCTCCTCTGATTAATAAAGATAAATGAAGCGTCCTCTGCTCGTGTGGTGCCAAGTGAACCTGACCTGAGACCAGCGAGTCCCTCAGAGCCACGTGTGGTGCCAAGTGAACCTGACCTGAGACCAGCGAGTCCCTCAGAGCCACGTGTGGTGCCAAGTGAACCTGACCTGAGACCAGCGAGTCCCTCAGAGCCACGTGTGGTGCCAAGTGAACCTGACCTGAGACCAGCGAGTCCCTCAGAGCCACGTGTGGTGCCAAGTGAACCTGACCTGAGACCAGCGAGTCCCTCAGAGCCACGTGTGGTGCCAAGTGACCTGACCTGAGACCAGCGAGTCCCTCAGAGCCACGTGTGGTGCCAAGTGAACCTGACCTGAGACCAGCGAGTCCCTCAGAGCCACGTGTGGTGCCAAGTGAACCTGACCTGAGACCAGCGAGTCCCTCAGAGCCACGTGTGGTGCCAAAGTGAACCTGACCTGAGACCAGCGAGTCCCTCAGAGCCACGTGTGGTGCCAAGTGAACCTGACCTGAGACCAGCGAGTCCCTCAGAGCCACGTGTGGTGCCAAGTGAACCTGACCTGAGACCAGCGAGTCCCTCAGAGCCACGTGTGGTGCCAAGTGAACCTGACCTGAGACCAGCGAGTCCCTCAGAGCCACGTGTGGTGCCAAGTGAACCTGACCTGAGACCAGCGAGTCCCTCAGAGCCACGTGTGGTGCCAAGTGAACCTGACCTGAGACCAGCGAGTCCCTCAGAGCCACGTGTGGTGCCAAGTGAACCTGACCTGAGACCAGCGAGTCCCTCAGAGCCACGTGTGGTGCCAAGTGAACCTGACCTGAGACCAGCGAGTCCCTCAGAGCCACGTGTGGTGCCAAGTGAACCTGACCTGAGACCAGCGAGTCCCTCAGAGCCACGTGTGGTGCCAAGTGAACCTGACCTGAGACCAGCGAGTCCCTCAGAGCCACGTGTGGTGCCAAGTGAACCTGACCTGAGACCAGCGAGTCCCTCAGAGCCACGTGTGGTGCCAAGTGAACCTGACCTGAGACCAGCGAGTCCCTCAGAGCCACGTGTGGTGCCAAGTGAACCTGACCTGAGACCAGCGAGTCCCTCAGAGCCACGTGTGGTGCCAAGTGAACCTGACCTGAGACCAGCGAGTCCCTCAGAGCCACGTGTGGTGCCAAGTGAACCTGACCTGAGACCCATCGAGTCCCCAGAGCCACGTGTGGTGCCAAGTGAACCTGACCTGAGACCAGCGAGTCCCTCAGAGCCACGTGGGTTGCCAAGTGAACCTGACCTGAGACCAGCGAGTCCCTCAGAGCCACGTGTGGTGCCAAGTGAACCTGACCTAGACCAGCGAGTCCTCAGAAAAGCCACGTGTGGTGCCAAGTGAACCTGACCTGAGACAGCGAGTCCCTCAGAGCCACGTTTGGTGCCAAGTGAACCTGACCTGAGACCAGCGGTCCCTCAGAGCCACGTGTGGTGCCAAGTGAACCTGACCTGAGACCAGCGAGTCCCTCAAGCCACGTGTGGTGCCAAGTG